TCTCAGAACAACCCTACACATTAGGCGCTGTTTTCAGTCCCATTTTAGGGATGAGAAAACTGAGACCGAGGGAGATTAAGAACTTTGATCCAGCTTCCAGAGCTAGCAGGAGAGCACACATTTCAGCTGGGGCAGACAGATGCCTGGAGCCCCATTCCCCATCTACTGGAAGGAAATCTCCTGTGACACCCCTATTCATGTGAGGGAGGGGCAGAGACCCAGTAATACCCCAGAGGGAACTTCTCACCCCATAGCCAGATAGCATTCGTGGTCAGATTTAATTAGATTTAAACACTTTTTTAAAAAGTGACCTTAATAGTCAATAGACAATGCTCTGGGTGAAACGAAAGAAACCCGAGATCTACTTGCTTGAGATTTTGGTCTTATCTAGATTTTCTACATTATTGTTTGTCCGCTAATTCAAAAAATATGTAAATGCTTCTCCTGTGCTTACTGGCAGAGCTGGGAACAGACTCCGACCTCTGGTTTCCATTTAAGTATCTCCCCTCAATTTTCATCATCTCATGAATTTATGTCCTCGTTGCCTAGCCCAGACCAAAAAGAATCCACACAAGTGTACTCCCAAGCCCACAAAACTTCAGCTGATCGATTCCTCACATTTTTTGTTTTTTTTTTTGCTAACAAAATGCTTTCCATTATTCTGCTTAAAAAACCATGCTATTATGGTCCATTTTCTTTCTGTATTTGGATAACCATGAAATTACTGCTTTCCCAACTTCTCCTTGGAAATATCCCAACAACAAGGGGAAGTAACTGTACTCAGGGGTGAGTGGTAAGCCAGAAACTCTATTCCCAGCCCAATATTTCTTTACGTTGAAAGTGTCTATCTTAAAACTTCAGCCTGCCACTTGACACTAATGATGTCAACTGAAACTTATTGAATCCTTTCTTGCCAAGTGCCAGGGTTGTTTTAGGTGCTTAACATTTGTTACCCTGTGAAATCCTCAGAGCAGCTGTCTGAAACAGGTACTAATATTTTGTCCTCATTTTACAAGTGAAGAGACTGAAGCACAGAGAGGGTAAGTAACTAGGATAAAGTCACACAGCTGGCAAGGAGAGAGCCTGCATTCAATGTGGGCAGCTAGCTCCAGGGCCTAGGCTGTTAACTTCTGTGCTCTAGTATTTTCACATTCTATCTGGGGTGAGATTAGTCTAAAAAAGTGGCTCTTGGTGGGGGCAATTTTACATCCTCTAATCCCTGCCAGGACAGTAGGCAATGTCTGTGGACATTAGTGATTGTCACAAAGGGTGTGTGTGTGTGTGTGTGTGTGTGTGCATGTTACTGGCATGTGGTGGGTAGAGACTACCGATGACGCTAAATATCCCACAATGCACAGGGCAGCCTTCACAACAAAGAATTACCCAGCTCGAAATGCCAAGGTTAGGGAATCCTGGTCTAAAAGCATTTTAAATTACTTGCTAGCTAAATTCCCTTTCTTTCCAAAACCTTCTCCAAAAACCACCGTGTTATCCTGTGGCTTCTGGTACCCCCACAACATCACAATTTTGAAAGTCCATTTGAGAATTGTGACCTTATAATGTGTGCAAGTGACAAAATTTCATGAGGTTTTTCAAATGCCCTGAGATTTAATGGCAGTAGCCTTTTTATCTACCTACCTTTTCTGACCGGAGGGTGAGCAACAAATGGAGTTTTCCCCCTTTAGCCAACAACGGTAAAAGGACGGAACATTTGTTATATGACAAGTGAGAATATTTGCTCCCAACATCATGCTTTCTTAGGCAGACCTTAGCATCATCTATCAAACTGTTTCTAAAATGGAAACAAACCAGACAGACATTTCAGTAAGCAGAGTTATGGTAAAAAGTGTCTAATCCTGCCTACATTTCTGCTTTCTTGTGTGGGGTTTACCATTTCTCAATTTCAGTGTATTTTTCAACAACATGGCAGAAATAATAGTAGCTAAATTGGATGGTTGTTGGCAAGATGAAAATGAGGCAAAAACCCTACTAAGCACAGAGTTCGGTACACAGTTTCACTTTGAAACCTAAGTTAAATTTTAAATTCAAATATGGTAAAATGAGCCAGGTGTGGGGGCTCACACCTATAACCCCAGCTACTCGGGAAACAGGTAGGAGGATCACTTAAGGCCAGGAGTTTGAGAACAGCCTGTTAAATGTTTTTTCAATAATGCAGTAGTTGAATTTTGAAATCCATAACTTTGTGGTGGGTCCCTGAGAATTAGCATTTATATCAAACTCCCGGTGATGGTGTTGCTGGTGCTGCAGACCAGGGAAACACATTTTGAGAACCATTTCCTAATAACATGCAAGTATTTGGATTTATAACCACAAATGGTGCCCTTTTCATGTGAAGTGGATTTTTATTCCAGGGATGCAAGGATGGTTCAATGTATGCAAGTAAGTAAATGTTATTCACCACATAAACAATTAAAAACTATATGATCATCTCAATTGATGCAAAAAAAAGCATTTGGTAAAATCCAGCACCTTTCATGATAAAAACCTTCAGCACTAGGCATAGAAGAAACATACCTCAAAATAATAAAAGCCGTATATGGCAAACCCATAGCCAACATCATACTGAATGGGGAAAAGTTGAAAGCATTCCCCCTAAGAAGTAGAACAAAAGATAAGGATGTCCACTTTTTTTTTTTTTTTTTAGGACGCCCACTTTTAACACTCTTGTTCAACATAGTACTGGAAGTCCTACCCAGAGCAATCAGGCAAGAGAAAGAAATAATGGGCATCCAAATTTGAAAAAAGGAAGTCAAATTATCTCTGCTGGTGAGATGATCTTATATCTAAAATACCCTGAAGACTCCTCCAAAAGACTAGATTTGATAAATGAATTCAGTAAAGTCTCAGGATACAAAATCAATATACAAAAATCAGTAGCATTTATATATACCAATAATGACCAAATCAAAACCTCAATCCCATTTACAACAACTACAAAAAATAAAATGAAATGCCTAATAAATATATTTAACGAAGGAGGTGAAAGATCTCTACAATGGTTTGGTCCTTTTGACAGGTATATTTTGTTGCTGGTTTGTGTAATGAGTTGAACAGTGTCCCTCCACCTCCCCAAATTTATGTTCACCCAGAACTTCCGAGTGTGACTTTATTCAGAAATAGAATCTTTTCAGATGTAATTGGTTAAGGATCTTGAGATGACATCATCCTGGATTTAGGGTGAGTCCCAAATCCCATGATTGGTGTCCTTGTAAGAAGAGGAGAGGACACAGGGAAGGTCAGGTGGAGACAGAGGCAGAGGTTGGAGTGTTGCTGCCACAAGCCAAGGAATGCCAGGAGCCACCAGAAGCTGGAAGAGGTAAGGATGCAGCCTTCAGAGGGAGTGTGGCCCTGCTGACACCTTGATTTCGGACTTCTAGCCTTCCAAACCATGAGAGAATAAATTTCTATTTTTTTTAGACAGTTTGTGGTACTTTGTTATGGCAGCCCTAGAAAATGAACAATTTGGTTTTACTTTTTCTGTAGGAAGGTAGATCTGCATTGTTTGCAAAATCAGATGTTTAAGACAGCCAGAATTAGTTTCAAAAGTGTATAGGAATAATTTCTCTGGGTTTTACTTCATCTGTGACATGCTTTAGTATATTTATGAAGATGAAATGATGCAGTTCCTAGGCTGTGGCTGGCACTCGGCTGGTGCTCAATGAATGGTAACTATTGTCATATATTCCCCCATCAGAAGCTGTTATTAATATTTGTGGGAAGTGTTTGCTCTTCTTTTGCCTCTTTCTTCGTGGCAGAGTGCTCACTAGATGTGGTTGGGTAACAGACCAAATGGCCTGAAAACAATCACTCAATACTGGCACGGGGGAATCCAGTGTGCACCCGATGCACGCAGGTCCTGTCCAAAAATGGCAGCCCCAGAGTGTGGATGGACTCTAGCAAGGGTGGTTTTTAAGGAGAAGACCCCAGAACAGACCAGAGAGACCAGCAGAAGTAAGAGGCTGCAAAAACGTGTCTGTCCCCTTTAGGGGCTTGTCCCTGGAATAATCACCGTGAGGACAGCAACAACAGTGGCAGCCACCCCTTCTGAGCGTGGGCTCACGGCACACTCACTCCGTGCTTTTCTCATTTCATCCTCACAACAGCCCGGCCGGTGAGAACAGGACCACGTCCGGGCTCAGAGGGGTTCCCTAACTGACAGACCCGAGGTCACACCTGGAAGCGGGCACCCGGGTACTTGAACCCGGGGCTGCGCCCCCGTCAGGGGCCCTGAAGTCCAACTGTGGGGAAGCGCTTTGCAGAAGAGCAAGATCCGATCAGAAGAGGGAAGGGCTTTGTCCTTGGGGAAGGGCCCAAACTCGCATACGTGTGAACTATGTTGGCTACAGCCTGCTCCGTTTCCGGCTGGAGAAGGTGCAAAAGTCTGGGGACCTGCGAGCTGCCATAGAGGCGAGTGCACCGAGCCCGGGCGCGCAGGGCAGGCGGGAGCCGCAAGGCCTTGGTGGCCCCCGCCGCGATCAAGGCCCGGCCAGGCCGGGCTCGGGTGCCTGGGGCGGGAAAGCTTTACCTGACTGGCTCCTGGGGAGGAACAGGTCGCGACATTGTCGTGGGGAACCTTTGTTTCCAGTCAGTGACTCCTCGGAAGTGCTGGGCGGGACGGGCCTGCGCAGAGCAGCACGGGCCCCGGGAGGAGCCTGCAGCCAGAGGCGGGGCGGGGCGGGGCTTAGGATGGGGCGGGGCCCATGGCCAGAGGCGGGGCGATGTGTGGGGGCGGGGCTTAGGGTCTGGTCTTGCTGGTCGAGTAAAGCAGTTATGCCCTGCTTCTGGTGCTTCCTGGAAAGCAAGAGGCTTATGGGGAATTGTGAAATTTACAACTGTAAATTTTTTTTTTAAAATAAAAATGGCTGGGTGCGGTGGCTCATGCCTGTAATCCCAGCACTCGGGGAGGCCAAGGCAGGAGGATCCTTTGAGGCCAAGAGTTCGAGACCAGGCAGAGCAAGAATACGGAGACCCCCATCTCTATATAAATAGAAAAATTAGCCAGGAGTGGTGGTGCACGTCTATAGACCCAGCTGCTTGGGAGGCTGAGGCAGGAAGATCGCTTGAGCCCAGGAGTTTGAGGTTGCAGTGAACTATGATGATGCCACTGCACTCTAGCCCTGGCAACAGAATGAGACCTTGTCTTTAAGAAAAAAAATTTTTTTAAGTGAAAATGCAACGCTGGTGAGGTGAGAGGATCCAGGTACTCCCATCTACTGTTGCTGGAAGGGGAAGGTGGTTCAGCTTTATTGAACGGCAGTCAGTACATATTTACTGAACACCTTCATGCAGATCCCATGGCAAAAGAAAGGCCACGTGGAGCTCACAGTCAAATGGGAGAAGAGACTTGAATCGAGCCATTTATATCAATACCACCACACAGAAGCAGTTGGCCCGTGAATTATGTGAATGTGATTGCTAAGGAGATATCCTAACCCCCTATCCAATATTCGTTGCACAGCTACAATGTGCTGGTAGTGGGGAGATGACTAAGACATGGCCCTTGACCTCTAAGGCCTCCTAATCCAGTGGGGTGATACTAAACATGACTCTCAGCTCTAGTAACTCACAGTGTGCTTGCTCTTGGCTCTGGGTGAGAAGGGAAGGGAGAGTGGTTCAGAGAACTGAGTTGGAGGCTGAAAGTTATTGTCTGGGGTTGTTATTTTCTTTTAGACATCCTTTGATTATCCTCATTTTTGAAGATGAGCAAACTGAGGCTCAGAGTGGTTGAGTGCCTTACCTGTGGTCACACAGCTGGTAAATGGTGGAGCTGGTTGTTGATCACATGCAGCGAGCTGCAGCTTGTGCCCGGGTGGGCATTTGAGGGATAGGTAGGATTTCAAGAGGGCAAGGTGGGGAATATAACATTCAAGGCAGAGGGAACCGCAGAAGCCAAGCTTGGGTGGGGAGTCTTGTTCAGAGGGGCAGATGGTTCAGTGTGGCTGGAATAAAAAGGGCATTTGGCAGAGCAGAGCCCTGGAAGTAGATGAAAAGGCTTTAGAAGCCACAGGAAGATGGAGGCTGACCTTCCTCCTAAAGGGAGAGGAATAGCAAGTCTGAGTTTCAGGACAATCTTGGTGGAAGATGGGTTGGCAGACGCAAGAAAGCAGATGCAATCAGGGAGCTCTTCCAAAAGTCCCAGCTCAAGGACCTAGGAAAAGAAGCTTTTAAACTTTCTGAAAAACCCCCACACTCCCAGCATCAGAAAGAGTGTAGTAGGAGTTTGATGGTCTTAATGTAAAAAGCAGCATCCTGAGATGCTTTGGGGTACACCAAGGCTATATACACAATATCTTATTTCAAGTTCAGAAATACTGCTGCAAAAATACTTGCCTTTTATGGCTTTTGTGAGGCTGGAAACCACAGCACAGGGAGCATCACAATGTGAAATGTATCATGATAAGGTTATGTGTGTGTCTGTATCTCCGTACCTTCAAGACAACAGAGCTTCAAGGTTAATGGGTAGTGTCTTTTAGGAGGAACGACTTGAGTTTGTAGCTTTTGCACACAGATTTGTTGATAGTAACATAAGTCTGGGAAATGTGTTGAAGAGAAGCAAAGCTGTAAAAAGATCAGGATAGCCTGCAAAGCTACCATCTACAAGTGCAGGTCTCTCAAAGAAGCACACCCTAGGGGCCAGGGTGGGCCTTATCTGCAGACCACTCACCTGGAACCTTTATTTGAACAGCAGCACCTCCGGGCCAGGCCTGGGTGGTGCAGAGATAAAGAAAACACCAACCAGCTTTCAGGAGCACAGGATATCTGGGGAAGAGACCTACAACAAACAATTAGCTTTAATGCCAGTTAAGTGCTCTAATCAAGGAGAAAGGGCTTAAGTGCTCTGGGGAAGGGAGGCGCAGCAGGGAAGCCATTAATTTCGCCTGGGGATAGGCAGTGGGATCTGGGTAGGTAGTAGAATGACAGTAGGAAAACTGGGAACACTTAGCAACTTCTTAGGGTGGAAAAATAATGCTCAAGAAATGTGAGTTTCCCCCCTTCCTTCCTCAGTTGGCAGAAAGGTCTCTAAGCTGGAGGGAATTCTTAGAAGAGGACTTTCAGATTAAATCTCACACATCCATCAAAGTATAAGGTTTAAGACAACTGGGTTGAACATTCCACAAAGCAGATACTTTCCCCTCTTACTTCCTCCAACTCACTCCTTACCCCCATCGCGCACCAATTGTCCTCCACCTCCTCGTAAATCAGGGAGAGTCCAGGAAGCACAGCCTTCTCCCCCTGGAGGAGAGGAAGGTGAGGAATTTCTTTGAGAACTGAGTTAGAATAGGTATTTCTCTACAAATAAGTCAGGGGAGCTCAGTATCCAAAATCATCTGGGGGTGGGATGCTGCCCAGACAACTCAATGCTCCAAATCCTACCCTGCAGGTTCTTATCTCTGGGTGGAAATTCACCCAGGAACTTGCATTTCTAAGCAAACCTCTAGGTGGTTCAGACATAAGGATTGAAGACACAGGTTTAAGTGCTCCAAAGGGGGACATTTAATGTTGGGAAGATAAGGCCACCTCCTTCTAACACGATGATGTGGCAGGCCCCGAGGGAAGGGGAGATAATGGCCACCAAGGACCAGGAGGTGCCATTCCTGGTGACATTGGAATGATCTTTTCTGGTAGTGAGAGTTGGCATTGTGGGCAGACCCATCTCAGCAGAGGCACCAGGGATGTTGAATGGATTGCTTTGTAGAGAGTGGGCTGGAGTGGACAGATTCCTACATAATGTGGCTCTTGCCTTTTTTTAAAGATACCCATTGAAAAGGAAATAACTTGTCAGTTTGGTTCAGCAGGTTCTCTGGTTGAGCACTGATTCTTAGGCAGGCTTCACGATGGATGTTGGAGATACAGAGACATGTGATAGTTGGTCCTTGCCCTTGAGGGGCTGGTGTCAAATTGTCTGTACCAGAATCTACGGGGGCTGATTAAACCGTTAGGTACTTGGGCCACAGCCCTGGGGAAGCTGGTGCACATGGGACCCAAGCATCAACATTTGCAACTAGATCCTTGTGTGATTTTGATGAAAGTCTACACTTTGAAAAGTTGAGAAATGGAGCCTGAAACTGAAAAAATAAATGAAAGAGTAGAAATTAGCCAGGCCCAGGAAATCTGGGTAGGCACTTGAACAAAGAAGTCGGTGACCTGGGACTCACTCCTTGATTTCTTGGCAGCAGGTGTGGACTGGGAACTAAAGTAATGTAGGGATTATAGAAAAAATGCTTCTGGAACTGCCCTGGGTCACATAATGTAAATACTGAGAATTTATTTTGAGGTGCTACAAATGTGATTTCATGGATGGTGTTTTTTTATCCATGTTTAATTTTCATTGTGTAACAATAAAACAGATATACGCTTGCATATCAAGATGCCTTAAATCTCTGAGTTTCCACGAACCAGCCTGCCAAAAACTGACAAACGTTGATAAGGGAGCATCATCCACACATTTTACACCATTGTTGGTTCTCATTTCTGTGCACTTTTAGAAATGAGATAAAAATTAGCTATGTTCAGTTCCTTTACTGTCTTGTAATCTTTGTGTAATGGAACAATCAAGTAGGTTTAATTACCAGTGACAACGATGCGGGGAAGTTTGTCATCTAAATGAAGGCTCGGTTAGGATGCACACCATGGCGTGACTGTGCCTCACAATGAAGAACATTCTGCTCTCAATTAGCATGAAAATTAGTTGTGAAATTGGCTTAGGATTTTCCAGTGCTAGTGGGTAGCTGAGTGTCTGTGGAAGAAGCAGACATCACTCCACAGGGAATTCACTCTCTGTGGCTTCACCTTGGCCTTGAGTCTGCCCCACCAGGAACGCATAACTCCACCCTGGTTAACCTCTTTGGCTTCTACAGCCTGGTGAGGGGAGGCAGCGACTCACATCCTTCCCTAACTCCAGACTCCACCACCTACTAGCCTGGTGCTTTATCCAACCCATACTCTGCCACCTCAGCAAGGACCGCGCGACCTGCGCTCTGCTCACAGGAATTATACTCTGACGTGCAGCCTTTCCTGCTGTAACTGTGATAACGAATACTGCCGCGCGGGCAGACGGACAGATGGACAAACTCTTTGGGAAGGATGCTGTCAGTTTGCTGCTAGCCGCTGGCTCCATGTTTGGCCTGTGGCTGCCTGTCTTGGGATGGCCTTAAGGTAGTCTGGTGAGGGAGGGAAGGCGTTGGTCATTGCTGGAAGTCTACAGAGGAAGCCAGATGAGAATGTGAGTTGTCCTGGTGTGATTTCAAGGATCCGATGGTGAAGGATTGTATTTCTAGCAGCGCAGTCCAGGAGAACTTTCTGCGATGATAGAAGTGCTCTATATCTGTGCTCTCTCATACAGTAGCCACTAACCAACAAACCACACGTGGCTACTGAGCACTTAAAATGTGGCTGGTGTGAACAAGGAACTAAATTTTTAATTTTCTTTACTTTTAATTAATATAAGTTTAAATAGCCACATGTGGGTAGTGGCTACTATATTAGTGCAGTCTAAAGATTGTAGTTTCAACACACTGTATACACACATAATATAGGTGGCATCTGCTTTTATAAATTTTTACAAGATGGTGCACGTAAAATGAACTTACTTTGATATTATCTATGTGGAAGCAAAATACGTAGC